GGTCTGTTCCTCATAATGACTCCGTGAGCCATGCCGTGGGGTGAGGGGGGACCATCGATCCTCGTCACCAGATTTTCAACCCCCACCCTTGATCCTGAAACAGTCACTATTGGTAGGACTGTCACTTCCGGGATCCAAAGTCCTGCATTCGGTATTGATTTGGATCCCGCTGAGTGCTGGGAACAGACTGATGGTGTTGATTGGCGGACCTTGGTCCCCGTGGGATAGGCCTAAGTCCTTAGGGTTGGGCAATTTTATGCTCAACCTTTTCCACTGGATCAAGTGCTACCCAATCAAGCAGTGTTTGGGACCAGAGCCAGCAGAGTCTGTAGTCAAATCTTGCGCCCGATCAGATTTTGACCAGTTAGTCGGAAACAATCCACACACTGAGAGCTGAGTGGTGATCTTCAACCTTCGAGTTGTGGTCAGCCAACTTGAACAATTTTTTTGCGATGAACGATGACAGAATGCACCAGCCTCCTAGACCAGCAGACAGACCTCCCCCACCCTCTTTTGAGGATGGAAGGAGCAGTCTCGGTGCTTCAGGATGCCACTGACCAGTTGGTACAGGTGAGGCCCGCGAGCCAGTTTGGCTTCTGCCAAAGCCAACATTAAGAACCCCAAGCTGAGAAAACGTAACGACCAAAGTCGGCACCCACTGGCCAGAAGTAGCCAGGAGGCAAGCATCCCAGCTCTTCCAGGGGAGGGAAGAGTGGTGACATGCTTCCCAGGGAGAAGGGGGTCGCCTGCCCACTTCACAGAGGAAGCAGGTTTGATGCTTCCGCTTGCGACAAGGGGGATGATCATATGTCCGGCGGGAGACAGAGTCAGAACCGACCGACTTCTAAAGGCCTTGCGGGGTCTCACCTCGGCACTACCATTCGGGGCACTACCAGGGGGCCCCGCAAAGCGGGAGCAATCCAATAGGAGGTAGATAGTTTGCTTACAAAGGGCGGTATACACAGGATAGGGAACCCAGCGTTAAGTCAGGGATTCTACTCGCAAGAATTGGTGGTTCCAAACGTAATGTAATGATTTAATGAGGAGGCAGCACCTGAATTTCTCTTGAGGATAATGAGATGCAACTGCTCCACAGACTGTTGCAGTCTCAGATGTACCTACAGAATAGACAACCTTGAATGTTCTGCAGTTTGTGGTCAGTGATGAGGATCTGGATGCACAAATGTAGTTCAGATATCTGATGAAGATAGCCATGATGATTAGCAATTACATTAATCAAACAAAAAACTTTTGGACAGAATTATAACTATTTAATACAGTTTGTTAAATCAAAATATAGTTTAAACAGTTTAAACGGTCTATTATGTATATAGTATAGCAGATTTGTAGATCCAACCAGGGTGTTTTATTCCTCTAGTTTTTTTTTTAGGTGTGACGGCCATGTTGGATTTATGCAGATGAAGCATTCATCTACCCAGGAAACCATTTATTTACATCTTTTCTGTACTGTACGATTCTGTTTAAAATTGTATCCAGCATCTTAAACTTATTACTTATGCCACGTAGAAGAGAAGCTAGAGTAGAAGTTACATTAAATAATTATATTATCGCGTCCATATTGGATTTATGCTAATTTTCATCTATCCAATCAACAAAATTTGCACTCTCATACCTTCTCCGAATAAAAACAGTACCATAGCATCATGTTTTTTTTTAAAATACCTCATTTAGAATTTAAGATATAACAGTTATATTTCCATGTTGTAAAAATGTGCAAAACGGCCATTTTAAATATATGCAAATTAGGCATATTTCTGAAGCCTAGATTGTCCAGAACTTTTAGTATGTCAATCTAGATACCTTTCCGAATAGCACTGTGAAAAAATTATTTTGGTTGCAATTTGTGAAAGGTTGGCCCCCTTTTTTGCTCACATTCATCCAGCAACCCCTAAATCAGCTGACATTATCCGCCCTCAAAACCAGCTACTAACATTATCCACCATTTAAACCAATATGATTAAAATCTGATGTAGTGTACGGGCTTTAATTATTTTGGCTATAAACTTATTTTAATTTAAATTTTTATTACTTTTGTTATTAATGCCTTTTTATTTTATGTGCGCTATAAAAGGAGGTCTGTGATTCGTTGACTGAAATCGTCGATAGTGGCTCTCGTTGAAATCTCGTTACATAGGCGTTGGATCAGATGTAGGTAGGGCGGAATTAAATAAAATCACAAAATCAAAATCAAAGTAAAATAATAAAATCAGGAATGGCATCATCCAAATCAGGAATGGCATTATCCACCCTGCAAACTAGCTAATAACCGTTTCCACCCTTTAATCCAGCTCACAACATTTATACCCTCAAAACCAGCTAACGATAGTATCAATCCTCAATAACTGGTCAAAAAAGCTAACCTGCCCTGCAAATCAGCGAATATTCCTTTCTCAAAACCAGCTCAGATCATTATCCACCCTCCAAACTAACTAAAACATTACCTACTAGCTATAAATATTATCCACCTTCCAAACCAGCTAATAAGATTGTCCACTATCCAAACAAGCGAATGTCATTATTTACCCATCCAAACAATCTCACAACATTATCCACCTTCCAAACTAGCTCACAACATTATCCATCCACCAAACCGGCTAACAACACTATCAAACATCGAAACCAGCTACCATTATTCACCCTCAAAATCAGCTAATAACAATAACCATCCTGCAAACCAGCTCCAATTATCAATCTTCAGAACCAGCTAACGACATTAACCATCATCCAAACCAGGTACGGCATTATCAACCCTCCGAAATTTCATAACATTATTCACCCTCCAAATCAGTTCACAGCATTATCCATTTTTAAAAACGAACTAGCAACATTATCCACCCTCCAAATCAGCTAATAACATCACCCACCTTCCAAATCAGGAACGGCATTATCCACCCTGCAAACTAGCTAATAACATTATCCACCCTTTAAACCAGCTCACACTATTATCCACCCTCCAAACCAGCTCACAGCGTTATCAATTTTTTAAAAACGAGCTAGCAACATTATCCACCCTCCAAATCAGCTAATAACATCATCCACCCTCCAAATCAGGAACGGCATTATCTACCCTGCAAACTAGCTAATAACAGTTCCCACCCTTTAACCCAACTCACAATATTATCCACCATCCAAACCAGCTAATAACATTATCCATCCTTTTTAACCAGCTCACAATATTATCTACCCTCCAACTCAGGTCACAGTATTATCCATCTTCAAAACCAGTAAACAACATTATCCATCCTCCAAACCAGCTAACGACATAATCTATGCTCCAAACCAGGTACGACATTATCCACCCTCCAAATCAGCTAATAACATCATCCACCCTCCAAATCAGGAACGGCACTACCCACCCTGCAAACTAGCTAATAACAGTTTCCACCCTTTAACCCAGCTCACAATATTATCTACCCTCCAACTTAGGTCACAGCATTATCCATCTTCAAAACCAGCCAACAACATTATCCACCCACCAAACCAGCTCACAACATTATATACCCTCAAAATGACATTATACACCCTTCAAACTAGCTAGTAACATTATCCACCCTTTAACCCACCTCACAATATTATCCACCCTCCAAACCAGCTTATAACATTATCCACCCTCCAAACCAGCTCACATTATTATCTACCCTCCAAACCAGCTAATACCATTATCCACCCTCCAAATCAACTCACACCCTTACCAACCCTCAAAACCAGCTGATGACATTATTCACCCGACAAACCAGCTAACGATATTACCAATTCTCCAAAGAAGCTAACCTGCCCTGCAAATCAGCAAATATTCCTACCTCAATACCAGCTCACATCATTATTCACCCTCCAAACCAACTAAAACATTACCCACAAGCCAAACCAGCTAACTGCATCAGCTATAAATATTATCCACCTTCCAAACCAGCTTTCAACATTAACTATCCTCCAAACCAGGGAATGAAAGTATACACCGTCCAAATCAGCTAACGACATTATCTACCCTCCAAACCAGCTCACAACATTATCCAGCAACCACTAAATCAGCTGACATTATCCACCCTCAAAACCAGCTAATAACATTATCCACCCTTTAATCCAGCTCACAATATTATCCACCCTCCAAACCAGCTTAATAATATCATCCATCTTCCAAACTAGCTAATAATATTATCCACACTTTGAACTCATTATCCACCCTCCAAACCAGACAATAATATTATAATAATAATATTACGCACCCTCAGAGCCGCTATTAACATTTTCAACTCTCCAAACCAGCTAATAACATTATCCACCCTTTAATCCAGCTCACAATATTATCCACCCTCCAAACCAGCTTAATAATATCATCCATCTTCCAAACTAGCTAATAATATTATCCACACTTTGAACTCATTATCCACCCTCCAAACCAGACAATAATATTATAATAATAATATTACGCACCCTCAGAGCCGCTATTAACATTATCAACTCTCCAAACCAGACAAAAAATTATCCACTGACTCTCCAAAACAGATGATAACATTATTCACCTTCCAAACCAGCTCACAATATTTTTCACCCTGCAAACCAGCTAATAACAGTATCCACCCTCCAATCCAGCTCACATTATCTACCCTCCAAATCAGCTCATAATATCCACCCTCTAAGCCAGCTAATTTTGTCCACCCTATAAATCAGCTAAGAACATTGTCAACACCAAACCAGCATCATATAATTTCTTAGACTTACCAAAGTATTTGTAACTTTTCAAAACATCCTACGGAGCAAATAACTTGACTGTTATGAACGTAGCGTGTTTCTGTACTAATTATTACCCGGCTACATAGCTTGCATTTAACTTCTGAAATGATTTCTTTGTTTGGGTTGTGGAGTCCATCCGTTCCCGTGTCTACGCTGGCCACGGTCTGGCAATGGACTGCGTCCTTTGTGTCTTGTCCCACTTCTATTCCGGCCATTGAGATACGTTGTGTATTTATACAGTGATCTGAAAGGGTAATATTACATTGACATTGATTTTGTAAGAATATAGAAAGTTTTAATCAACTTGAAATTGAAATGTATATATTTTAAAAAGTGCGAAGATTTGTTTAGGTTATTCCACGCTTTACGGAAAACAGATATGTTTTTCAGGGTCCCTGAAAACTGTAGGCCTGGAGCTTCTTTGTAGGGGTGTCCGGGTTTATAAGGTGCCGGGTTTATAAGGGTGTATGTCCATTTCATGCTTGTCCAGTTCGTGGCATCGGGTACTACCTGATGCTTACTTTATAGTACATCGTACATTCGTATGTTTCATAAATATGACAACTGCTCTAGAGAAAGTTTCAATTGACCGAGAAATGTTCCTGTCAATACCACTAAAATATACTATGTCCTCCTTTGGTTTATGATGTTTTATTAAAAACAAAACAAAATTTATTTCGGTAAAAAACTCACACTCATACGTTTACTGTCCGTAAACACACACAATGCCATGTCTCTTTGTATTTATGCAGATTGTATAGCCCTATAGATGTATTTATAAGCAGAGAGTGAATCACTTCTGTTAACTGTACATAACCTATAAAATAATGGGCATTGTGCTTTGAAAAATGTACTGTGTATCGTATCACATTGTGTCGTGGACATTGTGATACGAACTAGTTTTCAAAATATATTGGTCTGTATCCTTTTCTATTTTTAGAAGCAGTGGGAAAAACCGGTGAGTGGTGGTATCAAAACAAAGGTCGATTGATTAATTGACAGTTCTATTGAAACGAGGAGAATCTAGAGTGGGATCGACACGGGGAAAATCCCCATTAGTCATGCTGGTTAAAGTGCGATCGACACGCGGGGAATTCCACATATAAGAAAAAATGGTATTGAAATATAATATAAACAATACGTAAAATCCCACAAATCATTGATAAAAGTGTCTGTAAACAAGTCGCCAAGGATATAACTGCAAATATATTTTACTGAAGTGAAGACAATTTAAGCTGGTATTCCAAACGGTGTATATTTGAACTGGTAGCAATAAATTTCATCTGCGAGGTACTTCTATTCATTACACGTACTTACAAATACCTTCCTTCGTCTAATAAATACATGTGTGTATGTCGGAGGCGCTGATACACGCAGCTAACCTGTAAGTAAGCTTGGCTAATTTATGGAATGGCGGTTATTTTACGCGAAAACCTTATAAATTGGCACTGTGTGTATAAGGATATAATTATGTTTTGATAATAAATATTGACCTTAGATTTGAATTAATATCAGGATTCTGGTTTAACGCGTTTATGTTATTCAACTTGAAACCAAATTACTATCATTGTTACGATGTATATCACTAGAGTGATCGAATAGAAAACTCGGTCTGTACACGATGTTACCTTGTTCATCAGCTGGATCATCCATCCATTATTAGATAATTGTTAAGCGTCCACAATTTGAACTGATATTATCACTTCTGTGCAATATTAAATAATAAATGATGTCGATTCATCATATATTACCTTGTATATCCTTGTATTTTGTAGATTTCACTGAGCGTAACGACTTCTCGATGTGTTCTAGCCGTTTTGTTATGCGCGTTTGTCCTAGCGTGTCCGTTGAGCGTAATGACCGTGTTACTGGTGTGTTTATCCTTTTTGTCCTCCATCATTTCAGGGCAGGGTATTTGAGGAAATGAACTAAATTAGCTATTTATATTACTGATCTCCGTCTTCATCGTCTGCCATCGTCAACTTTACATTTTACCGTTTCTTACAAATGATTCTCTTTCAGATTTGTTTACTTTGTGACGATACTTTCAATTATCTAATTTTAGTGAATATTTTCGTCCCTTCGTTAATTTTGACTTTTTCCTGAAAATGGCTAGCCAAACTGCTTCGATATTTTATATGTAGACACTTTGGATGGAGCTCTCAGGTCTGTTCATTTACAACAATTACATCTACTTATATATTAAGTAACTACAACTAGTACCTCTGACAGATTGTTCATTTTGTGACAATAAATAACTTTCGTTTTCTAGTTCATTGAATATTTTTTAGCATTCTGGTAAAAAAATGCTTTTTCTATTTTTTCTTGGACCCAGATTTCTTAATTGTATGACAATAATCTTTATTCTCATATTTTATAACAAATATATTTTTAACGTATTTTTGACGTATCACCACTGGCAACTTGATTGTTTATATTTTATTTGTAGGTAATATGGGTGGGCTACTGCTAGTTTAATTTGATTAATTTCTCTATCAATTTCTAATCTTAGTAAATTTACTTGTTATCTCGAGAATATTATATTGATGTTCCTTTCAAATTCTTGTTAAGCATCTAAGACAGCAGAGCTCGGCCAACCGATAGGCTGCTCTGTTATTATTTATTGTTCAAACCTACTGTTGATCTTCAGAAATGTGTTTTGTGTCATAGCCCCGTCACACCATAACGTTTTGGTCAGCGTTCTCTGAACGTTCCAATCGTCCAATTTCCGAGCGTTCTGGAACGAGGTAGACACATCCAGCGTTCGATTAACGAGTGCCCCTAACGTATGACTAGCGTGTTCCTAACGC